GATGAGGAGCAATCCGGCCGTGTCGAGGGAGCCGGCAGGAGATATGCTCAAGGCGCCTTTTACAGAGTCCTCGGAGGAGGGGCCTGCAGGAAACGAGATCCCGTGAAAGGGATGAAAATCAGTTAATATAAACGAGTTCATAAAGTGCTGAAACGGGGAGGATTCTAACAAGTGGCCCTTTTTAATTCACCGGGCACACGATAACCCGTGTAATCGCAGACCCGAGAAAAGATGACCCTTAATCGCGATCACGAGTGCTCCTTAAGGAGCTCGCCCGATCATCCGCTTCCTCTTCACGCTCGTTGCTAGTGACTAGCAAAGTTGGTCCCGTACATTTTCGCACGTTTTGCAAGATCAAGAGACAGCGATGAGAAAAATCTGGCTGGATGCACTTTTGCACATTTTGCAAGGCCAAGACTAAGAGACTGATGAGCAAGATCTGGCTTCGCCTATGAGACATGGTCTAGGTCTTTAATTCCCTGGTCACTATTGGCGGTAAGTTCCTGGTCTCTTTTTAAGGTTGTCTCTTTTGAACGCGGATTTGGGGGGTGATTTACGGCGTCCAGGGTCTGGGGGAGGACTTGAGGGAACCGGCCAGGCTCGGTTTCATCCCCCGATGTTAATAAACATCAGCGGCGCCGGCACGGAGAACGGATTCCCGCGGGTTCGGCGATGCTATCCGATACTTAAGTACGTGTGTAACGGCTGCCATAACTCTTCCTCGAAATTACTAACGTGGAGCAACGAACGTCGGTCCGAGGCGCGGCATGCTAGGCCCCGAATTCCAGATCCGGTCGACAACGGCCCGACATTAATTGAGTCTTTAAATTTCATGAGAGCACATCGCGGCCTACTGACGTATGCATGCGTGCAGCCCGACCGGAGGAGCTCCAGTCCTACGCAAACTCGCTCCTGGAAATATCGAGAGGATGAGATACCTCCAGGAAACCACCCGCGATGAGCGAGTGCACATCCCCGTTCGGTCCGGAAAATTAAAAGGGAGGAGGAAGAAAAATAGAGGAAAAAGTTGTTAAATTAAGGGAAGTAATTTCTTCGACGAGCATAGAGGATGGATACGCGAAGAGTCTTTGAGGGGCGTCCAATTTACCGAGTCCCAGAATTTCCGAGATGTCGTCAGAGGTGCCTTCGGCTAGAGGGTCGATTTCGAAATCCGTCACATCGACGGAGAAATTGCCCACGAGTACCCAGTACGGCAAAGTAAAGCGAGTAAACTGTCGTCCATCGGCGTCACAATAGGGAAATTTATCCCGGCTAGTGCGCAAATCGGAGAATAAAGGGGAAACGCGTTGTTCCGTCCAATAACAAACTAAATCCAATAAAGACTGCGAGACAATCTCCATTTGTCATTATTGCGCATTATTAGCACATCGTTACGGGGCGCGCACGCAACTCATCGGAGCTGTCATAATATCGACGCGACGCGGCCGGAGCGCGGCCGAAAATGAACGGAAAATGAATTACGGCGTATCGGTAATATTATGGTGATGAGAACTAATTAAATAACCGTAATTAAGCAACGCTAGCAGCGAATGGCCGAGGGGAAGGCACCGTGGAGGGCGAACCGTGAAACCCACGAGAGTCGATTTTGCAAGTAAATAGCGCGGGAAATCTCGTTTCGCGCCGAAAGATCGAAGGGAGGAGGGCGGAATAGAAAATATCGAGGATTCGGAGCGTGGGATATTTAGATGGCTTCGTCTGCTTTGAGAAACGCCTAAATCAAAATGCGATTCAATGAATTTTAGGGGGTCGATTTTTCTGTACCCCCTCTAGGGGGTGGCTTCGACCCTCCTCGCTTTTTCCGCCCCCGGCTCGAGAGGCACCGCGTTTGCCGTACAAGTTTGCCCATTGCCCGGGCCCTGTACTCCGCGGCATATCAGCGTTGATATAAAGTGATTAAAGAAGTTATCCCAGATTTATGAAACACTCCCAGGGGGTGCATCGATTTTCCGGGCAGGTTCGTGGAGCGACCCCCGACCGGGAACGCCGAGGCGGGCTCTCTTGGTCGCCGGCGACCGATTTCCGCACGTCGATCGACACTCCCCTCGAAGCCCCCATTGGAAATCCTCGTGATGTCGGGGCGCCCACCGAGGATCCATGGGCCGAAACCACCGCGGTGGGCACCGAGAGATTGCGCCCAAAGTGCGCTGCCACGTCCCGGATTGCTGTTCCTCGCACGGCACTATTGATCTATGGCAGAACCATTAACTACCGGAGCGTGCACCAAATGTTTCAGAACTAATTTAAACTTGGCTGCAATTCCAGGGTGACGTCATTTTAAAGCCTCCGAGACTGTAATAACGCTATAGGTCCGTTTTCAGGGAGGCTCTAACCGGGATGCGGACCCGTGAAGAATGACCGGACGCGAGACCACTTCCCGCTCGGCTCGGCTCCAGGACTCGATCCTTCACCAAAATGGCCCCTGAAGTGACGCGGCTAGTTAAAAAGTGGGAGATTCAAAAATAGGAGGGGCTTTTAGATCTCTCGAGCCGCGCGATGGGACTCATGGGTTTCGATTTGGGTTGGGATATGGGGAGTCTCGTTGGGCTTTGGGTGTCTCGGTTGACGGTATCTCAGGGGTGGGGTAGCCCAGATATCGGGTGACCAGGTCGTTCTTTAGGGCTGATTCCGATACTCGACCCTTCCAAGAAGGGGCAAATGTTAATTTAACTAGAAGTTGCGTTCAACAACGGGTCAATACCCCCGGGAGATGGTTTAGATTCCGGCATTCGAAGTCGATCGGTGTTGCGCGAACACTCCCCCGATGGACCATTTGCCACGCGTGTTGCCCGCGAGATTACGTCAACATTTTATACACCTATAAAATGCAAACGTGGGCGGATTTTAATGCGACACTTTATGCACGCCAGGGCCCACATGTTGCGAAACGTCAGGCGGAGCTTTCGAGGGCCCCTGGAAACAACAAATTTCGAGCCAACGAGAGGCGACTCCACGAATCTCCATTTTGCAATCGTCGAGGGCTGAAGAGTGAGACTTAATCAAACTGGAATCCATAGGGTGCATCGGAGCCTCGCTTCGGCCGACCAGAATTGCATCTACATGGGCGTTAAGGTCGTTCCGAAGCGTAAGCATGAACATCCAGCTGAGTATGCAGGGGGCAGAAATATAGTTAGACACCCCCCGAGGGTGGACCCGGTCTAACATAACCTAACACAGCCCGACGTAACACGCGAGCACGCCGGAGAAGGCAGGTTACATATTAGACCTACACGCCCAAGTGCAAGCGCATTTGCAGCTTCCGGCTAAGCCGGCGGAGAGTGGATTTATGTGGCCGGCAAATTAAGAATTTCCCTCGAAATTTTCATGCCTTCCCTAGGAGTCCTTGCCGGGTCCTAACGACTGGCCAGGAGATTTATCTCGCGAAAAACCGGGCCAATTTTGCGGAGGTCCTGGGTGCCGCCCACCCCTTCTTGTACCCTTCGAAACAGGGGCGCGGAAACTTTTTCCCCCGAATCTTTAATCTCGGATATTCCCGAATCATTGAGGATAGAACTTCGAAGGGACCCGTCCCGATGATCCGGTTATTTCCGAGGTACGTCTTAGGAGGTGGGATAAATTTTCACGCGTTTTACGTAAGCCGATCGGGGGACCATTACGCAAGGGGCGAGCCATTTCTTCCTCCCCGGGAGTCCAGTGACGTAAATGGCTACGTAACTTCGACGGGTCCCCCGAGCACGTGGCAAGCATCCAGGAATAAGGAAAAAATGGATCGATGCCCCGTTCCCCGGTTTCCTTTCGGCCCGATATTCGCGCCTCTCCTCCGGGGGAGGTTCGCGAAACCTCGACCGAAAGACGCATGGCGGAGTCGCCCTTGCATGCTCGCCCACAGTCACGACCCTCTACCCTCGGCGAACCGACTCGGCTCGTTATTAGACGAAAGGCTACGTCTCGCGAAACTGAAAAATACTGCTCGTCTTTGGTTGCTTTTAGCCTCCACCCCGGCTGTTACCCAGGTAACCGTTAACGCGTCCCGTCTTGGCCCCGTTCGCCATTTATTTCCGTTCCGCGAGTTCCCTCCCGGTAAGGAATGCGCGTTTAACAACTTTCTGAGCCCTGCTTCCGGTTTTCCAATTTATCAATTGTTCCGCGCCCACGGCCCTGCAACAATCCGAGGTAGAAATCCCCGAAGGAGCGACTTTTCCGAGATCGTCCCAGGATATCAGACTCGCGATAAGCGATCCCAGTATTATCGACACCTCGAATGTGCCGGTTAATCCGCAGCGACTTCGCCGCTGCAGCCAATTTCCAGCCCGGTACTCGCTCCCTTATCAATGGAACGGAGAACCGCGCGTTCCCGAAGGGCCCCGACCTTTTGAAATTCTTCCCTGGGAGCTCGATTCGCGACCAGCAATTTCCCGTGTCGCGATAGTGAAGCAGCGATTACGCGGATATAAGGCGAACCGACCGGGGGTAATTTCACTTCCCTGTGTCGTCGAAATTGCGCGGCCTCTGAGGTCCCGTTTTGTGCCGGCTGACATCGGGAAGCCATTTGTAATGCGGCTTGCATCAACCGTATCGACATGTCTCACATGCAGAAAATAACCAAGGAAGCACCTATCCTCGTTCACTTTTTCCGGCCGCCGCGGAATCGACTCGCTATTCCGATATCTGTTCTCAATTCCCCTACTTTTCGCGGGGATGGAACGACTACTTATCTCCTTCTTCCGCCCACGCGAGTTCGCGTATTGCGACCCTCTGCCGCGAATCTGCTATGGGATGGTATTAAAGTGTTTTCCATTTTTTATTCCCTATGCAAAGGGAATTTTTTGACAGAGTTTCGAGCAGATCGAGGGAAGGTATCGACGGAATCGTATTCGGGCACGAATATCGAGGGGACTATCGATCGGCGATCGGTATCGATTTCTGATTCGGCGAGCCTCGGCCTTCCTGTAGAGGGATCATTTGATATTTGTCAACCGAATTACGTCGAACGTTTGACGATTGACACCTGAATGACGTACCTTCCTCGTCGCTGCCAATCATGGAGTACCTCTCGTAGCCGGTGAGGTTCCTGACAGCGCCCAATCCGAAATCATCCTTGGTCCATTGTATCGGGCCCTTCTGATCGAGGACCCGACAAGGAAGCGTCACTTCGCTGCCAATAACCGCGGTCTGATCCATCGGCTCGATCGCGAATCGCTGATATACCATTTCCGTAGTGCTGGACGTCCTCGGTGTCGTCGTCCCCGCGTACGACCGGGATGAATTTCCCCCCCTGGCAGCGGCTTCTTCGACTATCGTCAATATACACCAGACGATGAAGATAGAGTTCGCCCAGAGCCCCACGTACGACCTGGAAGAAGAAAGGCGTTCGTTCTAAATGATTTCGATAATAAAATAAAAACCTTTTTCATCCATCTTTTGCATATTCAGGATTTTCAAACTCCAGATAAGAACTACCCCTCTGTACCCAAGGAATTCGTCTATAAATTGTAAACCTATCAACGAATCGGTAGTTAGTACTAGAAGGTTAATATTTGCAAATATCAATATTTTTTCTGGCTCGAGATTGAAAAAAATTGAGTTATGCAGTTTCGGTCATGGAGGTACAGGTAGCCTGGAGAGGTTTCGTTTATATTTATGGATAACTTCGGTGGATACGATGGTTGAAGTGCATGGGCGATGCACCCGTCGGGAAATAACGCTGGGAAATATCTTTGAGGGGGTTCTTAATACCACGCGATCGTTTTCGCCCATTGATTTCCGAGGTATCCGGGTCGGGGGTAATTCGCGCACTCGGCGCGGCCGAATGGCGGAATAAAAACACAAGGGCCATTTTCCATTTAACTTGAGCGCGTGTTTTCGCTCACTAGAGCCGGATTATTCGCGAAGGATAGAGGGGTTAAACGTTTCCTCGAGCGTCGCTCATCCCGCGAGCTACAAAGCTCAAATTGCCAACGAGTTTCACAGACGACGCCATTTTCCGCGGACAAGCGGAGACCCTGCGGCGAATGAATGCCGCAATTACAACGTCTACACCCCCGGTTACGAGTCGTGACGTCAGCAAACGGTTCGCCCATTGCGAGGCAATGTGTATCCCGACCTGTCGTTACAAATGTACGACCCCCCATCGACGGTATTGCGGAAACCAGTGGAAACATTTCGCGGCCTCGCATTACGCGGCCATTGTGGTTTGCGCGCCTTCAAAAGCGCGACCGACGAAACGCCCTTTGAGCGTCAAGACTTTTCCTTCCTGGATTTCGATCGCGCATTGGAAACCGCGAACGCGTTTCCCTATTACTCGTCGCTCCACTCGACGCCGCAGATTCGGGTACGCGGCGTCAGCTGCAGCTGCTCCTGGTTTCTTTGAAATCCGTCCTGACGGGCGTCGTTCGGCGCCACTTTGGAAATTTTTACCCTTGTCTGGACCACATCCTTGTACGTCAAATTGGGATTTGTGTTGACGAGGGCGAGTCTCGGGTCGGACCGTGGGCGAGAACATGGAAATGGAAGCGGAAAATATTCCTACCTACTGATACCGGATAGAGATTCACGATATCAGCCGCGGATTAAAAACCCGACGTCGGGCGCAACATTTACCTCCAGAAGGAGACTTAATTACTGCCTTTGCCGAGGAAATTTCCCCCCGTTCATTTGTTTCTTGCTACCGAGGGGAAATCGAAATCCGATACGCAGGAACATTGGCTGCCCTGTAGATGCGAGAATTCGATCTGGGGAATTTTTACCGCCGCGTACGGCGCACCTGGTTGTTGCCATTGCGGAATTTGTCGGTCTCGAGAGCCTCGATTTGTCCGCGCAAGTGACGGCCGGTTGTGCGAGTCGTCGCGGAAGTTTCGAACGCGGTTTCGGGCAATTTTGGTGATTCTTAGGCCAGGGAAATGGATTTCCTCCGGCGCTTTTTTACGTTTTACGAGGCACGAAAGCTCCGTTCTGCTCGACCGGCAGTTAAATGGTAGTTGGAATTGCGCTCCTCTTCTGCGTAGGCCCTTTCGGAGCGGCCTAGAACCCCTAATGCATCCAATTGGTTACAGGCTGTTACGGGACGTCGTAAGATGCTCGTACGAGTCGTCTCACGGCTTCTTCCCGTGCTTAATAGAATAATAACCCCGGCGCGCAGGCGCAACATATTCAACATATTCAGCGCATGAATAAGATCGTGTGTACCTAGGAGAAACAACGTGGAGGGCGTTCTCGAGGCTGGAGGAGAGACTCGCCCAAGGGGACCTCGCCGACGCGTTAATCCGGTAAATCGACTCATCCCTTAATTGTCCGAAAATAGTCGTTATCTAGAGATACATAATTATGTAAGAAAAATTTCTGGAGATCGTTTAAACAACCGACCAGTTGGACGACGAGTGATGACGGAGCTTCCAACTTCAGTTTCCACAAGCAGCGCGAACTGTTCCATCAACTTTGAGCAACCGAGTAGTCGGACGACGAGCGATGTCGGAGGTTCCAACTTCAACATCCACCTCCAGCGAGATCTGCTCCAGTAATTTTGAGTAACCGAGCAGTTGGAGGAGGAGCGATGTCGGAGGTTCCAACTTCAACCTCCACCTGCAGCGCTCGTTGCGCCGACCTCCGATCAGCTGATTTGGGGCGCCTCTTGAGGGGGCTTTTATTTAGAATTCCCGGCGCTCAATCGGGGGCCGACGCCGGCGGGACTCGCGCAGGTGCTAAAGTTGGTGGGAACGATTAGCGGATCAATTAATTGGATAAGCTGGCTAATTATACAGGCTATAAATCTAGACGAATGCGCGCGCTCCGAGGGGCAGAGAGCCCGGCCTGCGACGGAGCCGTTCTCGCTCTCGAGTAGCCTGTTTGCTCAGAAGCTAAGCTTTATCCCTTGCCGGTGTGCTCGGCATTAACGAGCCGTTAACTCCATCCTAATCCAGCCGGCTGTCCAAACGATCTCGAGACCCGTCGAAGCGGCCTTTCGTTTCGGCCCTGATCAGCAGATACGCATTCGTCGCAGGAAGGCTCGATGGAGTCGGGTCGATTTTGTGGACATTTCTAGGATTCTTCCATATCTCGAATTTTCCTCGGTCACGGATCTCCGGGTGGATTTCGGAAAAGCGATACCGCCGGGCTCGACACCTTCTCTCTTTTTTTAGCCAGTCGAGGGGTGCAGAGATTCGGTCCATTCTATCCCGCCAATTGAGACCTTTCCGACGACGTGGGAGCGTCACTATCAGTTGCGAGCTCGTAGCGTATGCATTGTGTGCTTACACGACAATCAACATTGTCTTGGTACATCATTGTGCATGCAGGGATACATTGCAGCGCGCGTGTCCGTCCTACCGATGGGCATAGAGAGCAATGTCTATCTTGTGTAAGTACGCGCAAACGGTGGGTGCTACCAAAGGCACGCGACGCGTCCCCACGGGTCGACCTTCCCATCGATTCAGATCCCGATGAATCGATGTTGGGTTATCGATACCCAGAATCAAGGCCTTCGCGAATATCTCGCGTAATCGCAAGCATAACAGGGAGAATTGGCTAAAAATTGAACACAAGACGCCGCATTGAATTCTCTGTAATTCTTGCCGTTGGGGTCCTTATGGACTTCTCTTATCTCTTGTATATGGATAATCACGAACTAGCCAATCGGATAGCCGAATGTAAGTCGGCATTTTAAAATCCACGGGTAGTCGGAAAATTCCACGGGTTTCATTTTTTTATTTTTTAATTATGATTATGCGTTGCTGCTTATAAGTAGTTTGCGCGAGATACGCGCAAAGGTCTTTAATAAGCGATAAAAAGCGAAACGGGGGATGGTAGTCGGAGGAACTTCCAAGGATCGTCCAGGCTTCCGATTCGTGAATCGACCAGGACGAGTTCGGGTCCCTGCTGTGATTCATGGGAGCGAATCCTGGACGTTTAGGGGCTGATACGAGATAACCCCTTGGTGCCGTCTCCAAAGTGAAAACTCCCATTTTCCCCGCCCCGTGCCGGTTTATTTATTCCGCTGGAACTTAAAATACGACCGTTCGATTTCCTGCCAGGCCTCGGGGCTGCCCACTTTTATCCAATAATGCCCGGTTTCGTTTGTCCCCCGAAACTTGGGATACGCTTTCGATTTCCCGGAGGCCTCGGTCGCACGTATCGGTCCAGGATGCGGATCAATTATTCCCCAGGCCCGACGCCGGGATACGAGCCTCGGCGAGGGTTCAATTAACGCATTTCCCGCTTTCCCGACGTTGACTCTTCAACGGCGATCCGTTAAGGCGGTCGTTTAATTCCCCATTCCGAGCGAGCGACTCGAGAAGCCCCGGCGTGCCTCCTGATCGCTTACGGCCAGTTAATCCATCCTCGAGTAAATTTACTGGAGGAATAAATCTGCCCGGGCTAGCCAATGATATACGCGTTTATCGGAATTGCCCAATGAGCGGGGCCGGGAGGGGCTAAATTTACTGGGAGCGGATAAATTCGGGACGCGATTACTTAGCGCGGATTTTCCGAAATCTCGGCCGATTATGAGCCGTCCGGGTCTTAGGAAACGCGTCTCCTCCGCCGTCGCGCCTGCGGAAGATCCGCAAGGGTCGTCGTCGATATCTCCGCGAACGACGCTGCAAATCGCGACGCGAGTCCTGCAATTAAACCTTGGGGCGGCGGACGGGAATTGTTTTCATTAAGGTTGCGGTCTGAGCCCTGTTATTAATTGCGGGGAAGGTTTACAGGTGGAGTTCACCTGTCCGCTGCAGGCCGGGCCGCGCGACAAACGGGGCTTCGCCTATCAACCCTGAACAATGGGGTGCGAGGGCAAAATATCTCGCTGTGTCACCTGCAGAGCCGGATCTACGGCAAGATCCCGGAATTTCGACCCTCCCCGGGTGGGGGCTTTCTTATCGATCGCTCGAAAAATCCGATCCCCTTCCGGTGATGGATCGCCCCAGGCGGAACACCTGTCGTTCGGCCCCGGAATGATGAAGAGCGGTCGAGGTAAATTAAATCGCCCCCGAATTATGCAGAGTCCCGTCAGGATGGATGAACCCGAGCTTCGGGGTGTCCCTCCGGTAGACGCGTTCGTTAGGCAGGAGCGAACGTGGAACAACCCCGGGAAAAAAGTGGCGAAAATTCCCCCGAGGGTCGGCGACGGTCGGACCTTCGGTAAATCGCGGATTCGGCGAACGGTTCCTCTCGTTCCACGTAATCGTTTGGCCCAATTGGCCCCGATAAGGAGATGATTGCTCGTCCACGCTTCAGGGAATGCAAAAGACCGCGGGGGGTCTTCGCGAGGAGAACGGAACGCATGGCGGCCGTAATCCGCGGGGCTTATCGCGCGGTTCGGCTCGTGACAGCCGTTAAAATCCACTTGTCAGCTGGAAAAGA